GACACTGGAATAGTCATATACTCATTTTCTTTGCTGTCAGTGACAAGAAAAAAGAAAGATGTTTAGTTTAGGGGGTGAATTTGTCTATTACAGTAAACTACTTAGAGCTGCAGAAGAACCAGGGTCATCTCCAGTCAGATTAGAATTGAGTCAAACTACTTTTAATCAGCATCGAATTGTCAACACTCCAGCTTCGTATACCAACCATTCTGGTGGTGCCACTGGGAGTGATATATATTGGCAAAAAACGAGTGAAAGGTATAATGTCAAGACAGTTGTGTATTCATTCTCAGGCCACGCTACAAGCAATCCTTACAGAAAAGTTTTGAATAAAAAAGAACTAAAAGATTCTAATGAGCATTTGCTTAAAGCCAACAAGTCACTGCACAGAAAGTTTCCCACGGGCAAGGCTTTTGTCGACAGTTTACTTCAACGTAACTGGTATCAGGTGAAAAATTCTGATGCTGTTTTTGCTGTTGGAAAAGTTATTATGAACAAGATGGTTGACGGTGGAACAGGGTGGGCAGTGCAAATGGCAGTAGACAAGAATAAACCCGTCTATGTGTTTGACTCTTTTAAAAACGAAAGGACTGGGGTGGAAGAAGGGTCATGTCAATGGTACAAGTTTGATTTTGTAAGAAAAATGTTCAAATTATATCCAGATGTGCCAGAACTCACGCGTCATTTTGCAGGAATTGGCACTCGTGCTTTGACAGATAAAGGGAAATTTGCCATACAGGGGGTATTTGAAAGAACCTTTAAATGTAAATGAAGATTTCTTTGTTTGTTTACGCAAATAAACAATTGGTGTGTATTTGACTGGAAACACCAATATGTATAAATATTTTTTTTAAACATACACAGCTATTTTGTTGATGGACCTCAAAGTAGTCACAATACATATATCTGGAAGTTAAGTCATTGACTATAAATGCTTGTGCAGCCTCTATCTTGACTTAATTGTAACATGAAAGCCGGGACCGAAAAGTTATTTCATTTTCATCTCAAATTGCTCTCAGTAGCCGATAGGAAATTGATACATGGTATAATACTAAACTCTCCCTATGATCTGATTCGAATCCTGTGCAACTTTGCTGCTAATATACTGTATAACAAGGATATCAAGCTGAATTTAACAGAAAAATCAGCACTACGCAGAGTTAAACGCGTCGTTGTACAACTGGCTGATAAAAAAGTCTCCATACAGTCCAAGAAAAAACTTTTGTTACTACACCCTCCTGTGGTCAAAGCAATTTTAAATCCGATATCAAGAAATGTCAAGCTTTCAGAAAATGGTCTTGATAAGTGAATCTGAACTGAACGCCTTGAAACAACAAGTCAACAGATATTACTCTCCCTTACAAGAAGAGACGCTACGATTGCAAAATGAAATGACAAAGACTATGCAAAGAACAGATATATCTTTTGACGAAAAAATGAAAATGTACAACGATTTGCAAGTTCAATATTTGAAGATTGCCCGAAAAAAGGAGCCGGTTGCTGTAGTTATTCAGAATACACCAGCCCCTGCCCTACAAACCGCATCAGCAACAATGGACAGTCCACCCATTAAAACAGAAGACCTCCCTAAAAAAACATATTTCAACCAAGAAATATTGGATTCCATCCCACAAAGGATGCAAAAAAAGGCTAGGATAGTGCTTAGATACATGTCTAACAACCCTAATGTATTGTCCTATAATGAACAAGGGTTATTAAAATACGATGGGAATGTTATAGAAGGCACCAACATTGTAGATTTGATGAATGATCTTTTCGTGTCACGTAAAAAGTATACGCCAGCGGGGCTTTCTGTCTTTCTTCAGGGTTTGAAACGTCTAAATGTACCTTTAAATACTATTGCGAACATAAAGCGACGGCACCAGATTGCGGATGGAGACACTTCCTCTGCCAAAAGTCAGACAGGTTCTGGGAATTTTCTAAAGTTGGCACCATTCAACATATATTGAAGCAACACACACTGTTGTACATGTAAATCATTCTTTATTTTAATTGAATAAACGTATCTAATACATGAATCCTAAAGATTTTTTTGATTTACAAGTTTGACAATTCGTATTTACAAAGCTGGGTATAATGCAACGCGTATTAACATAATCATGCACTAACATATCATTAAATTGTTTATCAGTTGTAAAACTTTTAAGTATTTGTGCTAAAGGTTTCCCACGAGAACGGTTCATTAAATAATATATACAGTATTGACCACACACTTTAGTGTAAATGCTCTGTAGTGCTCTAGAATTACACGTCCATGCAGTTGTAGAGTTTTCATCTAGAAAACGTTCGAACATTTCATCATAATAATCAGGGGGTTGCCCGTAAGAGTCAAAAAATTCTCCAACCCCATTTTCGTTGAAGTGAAAAGCGACCCAATGTCTGCCAGGACCCGTATGTTTATCTGTATTTGACACAAAACAGGCAGGAAATATCTGAATTTTCTTAGGCAATTGACATGACCCTTCTTCCACCCCAGTCCTTTCGTTTTTAAAAGAGTCAAACACATAGACGGGTTTATTCTTGTCTACTGCCATTTGCACTGCCCACCCTGTTCCACCGTCAACCATCTTGTTCATAATAACTTTTCCAACAGCAAAAACAGCATCAGAATTTTTCACCTGATACCAGTTACGTTGAAGTAAACTGTCGACAAAAGCCTTGCCCGTGGGAAACTTTCTGTGCAGTGACTTGTTGGCTTTAAGCAAATGCTCATTAGAATCTTTTAGTTCTTTTTTATTCAAAACTTTTCTGTAAGGATTGCTTGTAGCGTGGCCTGAGAATGAATACACAACTGTCTTGACATTATACCTTTCACTCGTTTTTTGCCAATATATATCACTCCCAGTGGCACCACCAGAATGGTTGGTATACGAAGCTGGAGTGTTGACAATTCGATGCTGATTAAAAGTAGTTTGACTCAATTCTAATCTGACTGGAGATGACCCTGGTTCTTCTGCAGCTCTAAGTAGTTTACTGTAATAGACAAATTCACCCCCTAAACTAAACATCTTTCTTTTTTCTTGTCACTGACAGCAAAGAAAATGAGTATATGACTATTCCAGTGTCAATCAACAATTAACTGTGCATACATGAAAAGTAAAAAGATATACACATATTTGTGTCAAGCACGCACGAAGGCAACTTGCGTCTCTCCCGGAAATACACTACTTCTCAAACGAATCTCGTCTGGGCAATCTTGGGTTAAATCGATCAGTAGATAACCGTTTGGTTTTTCTGTTGCCTGTTTGAACGCGCCAAGAAAGCCGCTTGCTTCCCCGTACATTTGTGTGGCTAAAGTTCGTACTTGGAGAATATCTCTTGGGTTTTTAAAAAGCACGATATAGTGGCTATTCAAAGAGATTGTTCTGGCTTGCTTTTCCTTTGGAAATAATGTTTGCATTATAAATATTACGCTGACGTTCAAATGGTGAGAGCCTTTGGTAAACAAATCGCGTATTCTAATGTCACCCCCCGCTTCTGCGAATAAGTCATCAAAAATGACCAGATTGCTTAGATTTGCATCAAAAAAGTGCTCAGGTTGAAAGTCAACAGGTATGCCTTTTACAAATTTTATGTTGTTAACGGTGTCTTCCATTTCAGCAAAAACGGGTTGCCAGATCGAATAGAAATAGAATATTTTATCAGGCGGCGGAGACACCATTTCACCGGCGTTTAGCAAAAGACGTTTCACCCAAGTAGTTTTCCCGCATTTTGTCGGTCCAGAAACAATCATCGTACTAGGCGATTTAAACCTCACGTCACCCATGGTGATTACTGACATTAGCAAAGCACAACGCGACACTTTATAATAGTTTTCTATCACGTGTTTGTTCTCACCTTTGTTTTTTAGCGCTCTGTTCAGAAGACTCAACTAGCTCACCATCGCTTATAGTTTGATGTTCAAAGCCTTGCCGTCTTTCGTATTCTTCTAAATGTGCAACCATTTCACTGTCAGAAATACAGCTCTGCCATAATTCTGAGTGATCCATGCTTGCTGGAAAGCCTTGCCGTCTTTCGTATTCTTCTAAATGCGCAACCATTTCACTGTCAGAAATACAGCTCTGCCATAGTTCTGACTGATCCATGTCTACACAGTTGCCTACTGGAGTCCCTTACATCTCGGACTTACTATTATATACAGCGAAACAAAATGTGTGACTTATCAAAACAGAATATTCTAGTTTCGTGACTAAGACTTTTCCAGAAGAAAAAAATTATGTAATAAAATGTTCTAGGCGTGAATATCAGATTAGAAAGAGAATATCCCAAAACTGGTGAAAACCGGCCTTGATAGGAAAATTCCAGTTCTATCTTAATACCATGTAACAGAATGTGTCCGACGGATTACAAAAGTAGCTAATCAAATAGATATTATATCACAGAATGTTCCAGTTCCGTGACTCAGCGATTTTCTTCCTGTATATATATAGGCCAAAAAACCCACAGATGTACATAGACTGATCCTAAAGCCATGGCCACATTTCTACCCTTCGGTGCATCATTTTGCGCAACAGTCTGCCATAACCGACATGGCGAGTTACTGGTGGTGTTGACGGACAAGGCAAAATGCAAAATACGATTTAGCTCGATCGTATGGGGCCAGTTCAAAATACACGCGGCAGAACTTGAAGAGGCCTTGCTGAAAGAGCAAGTTTCAACAATTTCTTTCTGCGATGGCTACAACTTGTCTTCAGATGGTTCCGGATCCCCGATTAAGATCAGCTACGCGCTGGGTGATGCCACCCCCACGGTCATTGAAATGCCGTATGCAGATTGGTCGGCGTTTATGCGACAGTTCCGAGAAATCGATGCAAACTTAGATAAGAAGAAAGAAAAAGATGATGCCTCGACGAGCACTTCCGTCATTCGCCTGATTTACGCCTATTTTCTCACGAGGAAAATAGTGCAACTGCGTAGTCAAAATTGTAATGGCTGTGAGATCGATCACCCTAGCCAGCGCGAACATGCCTGCCTTGAACCGGTGTGGTCGATTTCAGTGTATCAGTTTATTGATGATGCATTTCAACATATCCAAAACAGCGTCATACTGCGAGCATACGAGCTGTATTGTTCTACTAAAGGGGTAGCAGACGATCCGTACATTTTCGCCATTATTGAGCGCGTTGCTCAAAACCACGAACAACTTGTACATGAAGTGATTGCAGCAGCTGACGGCTTCCAATGCGCTGAAGACACCTTGAAAACTTGCTACAATCGTATATACGAACTGTAAAGTACATGTATTTAATTGTCATATCCAATGCATTATTCGGACTTTACGTGTTAAATCATCCATATGTGCTGTGCTTTGCAATCTTTAGTGAACCAATATGATTTGGATATTAATATCATATTAATAAAGTCATATAAGACACGGAGTATAACAATTTCGTTGCTCACCAACGACTTTGATAAATAAAAAAGTAACCAACTAAAATTTCTTTCTAATCGTTTATTCATTTTTTTTTTAAATCGAGCTCAGGAGAGGTTTACTCTTCGTCTCTCTCTTCTGGCTCTGAAAAATAACACATCTTAAAATCAATACGCTTATCTCCTTTCTTTTTTATCTCGCGACAAGCAAAGCTCCGATGTTTCAGTACGCACCCTTCTCTGTAATACCTAAATTCACAGTAAACGTACCATACACTTTACATTAACTTTCTATGATACGCCGTAATAAAAGAAAATTTTACTACGTGACGCTAATGAAAATTAGACTTACCCCGTTGGTATAATACTTCCTCTTCTTCTTCCGGTTCGTCAAGTAACCGAACAAACTGCAATGTAAAAAAAATCATACCCGTTATTGCTCTGTCGTACTCCGTGGGAGTAGTTATACTTATTTAACCAAATCCCCCTGTGGGCGGTATGCTGTGAGAATCGCTGGTCTTTTAAATAACATGTAATATTTTACACTTACCTTTGCCTTATAGCTGCCTTCAGCTAAATTTTCCACAGTATCCTGTAAATATAAAAAACTTAAAAATAAAACCAAATCTAACTATTTGATATGCATGAACCTCTATAAACACAAAAACGATAACTTAATGTTTGGCCTTTAATAAAAGACATGATGACATGATGTTATACGTACCGTTATTTTTAAGGCGACAAGTATGTCGCCGGTGTCGAGAAGGACAAACAAGAATATCTTGTTACAGTGTCCACAGCGCTTCAGTATCACCTTCCCCATAGTGTGTGTTGCTCCCCCTTCTGAAAACTGGACATATATATACAGTACCGCCGAAGTTCCAAACGTGAATTCCGACTTAAAGAGAGCATATACAATATTCCTCTTAGTGCATGAATGCAGCGCACTTATCAATACATGGTACGGGCGCTTACAAATCAAATTAAAATCTAATTAAACCCTTCTACCTGACGTTTTTCCTTATACCTCATCTCTAGCTTATTCTAATGGCGTGACATTTGTTTTGTCAAACATATGGCAGTTTCCGACACACAAACGACCGCACCTGAGAGGTATTACTTAACTTTGTCATGTCTTCTGTAGCTCCTATCATTCTGTTATTCAACCAAAGGCTTGCACCATTTCCCAAACGTGAATTTCGGATTGAAAAGAATTTTTCTTATACCTCCTGTTGACACTATAACGCTTCGTAAATTTCAACTTAAAGAGAGGATATACAATATTCCTCATTGTGCATAAATGCAGTGCACTTGGTGCGAGCCCCTACAAGTTAAAATTTACCCTACGTTTTTTCCCAATACCTCATCTCTAGCTTATTCTAATGTCGTGACATTTGTTTTATCAAACATATGGCAGTTTCCGACATACCAACAACCGCACCTGAGAGCTATTACTTAACTTGGTCATGTCTTCTGTAGCTCCACACATTCTGTTATTCAACCAAAGTCTTACATAAATTTCCAAACGTGAATTTCGGATTAAAAAGAAGATATAAAATTTTCGTATACCTCCCATTGACAATGATAACTGACAATCCTATTGACACCGTAACGCTTCGCCTTGCCAGGAGACGGTAAGTGTTATGTTGCTGATTTTCAGTAATTTTTATAAGGAAATGCACTGTGTAATATTGACTACGAGATAACATTTGTGCAGCTTACTAACGATATTGAAATTTGTTGAATGAATGTTGGACGATATAGCAGCATAGAAGGATAATGGTCATGCAATTTATTGTTTTTTTTTAGAAAATGGATCTTGACAATATGTTGCAAATTCTAATGCCAGCGTGGGAACCCAAAGAAAGAATTTGGCGGGAGAACCCAAAAGAGCTGTACCACTTGGCAGCGGTCAACGTTGAAGTCAACAGATACAACGCTGAAGAAGTTGTCGGGGTAGGGAAGGCGCTTAACGACAGGCGTCTTTTGGAACAAGGCCAGGACTTCATCATAGACAATATAGAGGCCTACGAAAAAAAATTATCTAAAGACGACTGTCTTGAACTGTTAGTCTATTTGAGAAACCAAGTCAAAGGATTCTAACAAAGGAAATACTTGGCCTAAATAAAACACTTTTCACGGTAAATGTTTGTGTTGCTTACTTTACCGCGTCACAATACAAACCTATGATAACCAGGGTAATGTTTCCCCATGCCTAACTGATATACAGTGCTTGTCAAATATTTGATAATGCTTAACACATGCTAGGTCTCGCGCTTGCAAATCCCCTATTTCTGATAAGGCAACAGACACTCTGTGCGGCGAACTACTCTAGGTCAGCTCGCCCTTGCAAATCCCCTATTTACCGATAAGCCCGCAGACAACCCTGTGCGGTCAGCGTGAGTGCGTGGCTGCTTTCACCTGAATATACCTCACGACTGTCTTAAACTGTTAGTCTATTTGAGAAACCAAGTCAAAGGATTCTAACAAAGGAAATACTTGGCCTAAATAAAACACTTTTCACGGTAAATGTTTGTGTTGCTTACTTTACCGCGTCACAATACAAACCTATGATAACTAGGGTAATGTTTCCCCATGCCTAACTGATATACAGTGCTTGTCAAATATTTGATAATGCTTAACACATGCTAGGTCTCGCGCTTGCAAATCCCCTATTTCTGATAAGGCAACAGACACTCTGTGCGGCCAACTACTGTAGGTCAGCTCGCCCTTGCAAATCCCCTATTTACTGATAAGCCCGCAGACAACACAGACAACCCTGTGAGGTCAGCTTGAGTGCGTGGCTGCTTTCACCTGAATATACCTCATTCTGTACCTCTTTTTTTGCCATATAATTGCATTGAAATTTTCAGAAAAAGTTGGTTGAACGGTGCATAACATACTACTAACGGGGTAGTATTTATATGTTTGAATGAGCTTGAGCTTGAAGATCAGTGAACACATATATACTGAAACTGATCGTCAGACGGTGAATTTACAGGTATATTGAGGCAACAACAATACCATTTAATATGTTTGTGATCGCTTTGCGGCAGAGTGACGTCGGCAATTAATTAATTGATGCCACCACGAGTGAGAATGCGGCAATCACATTGCCTATTGCCATCTTTATGTTAGCATTCCTGTCCTCATTTGACACCATTTGCTCTATTTAGGTATCATTGTAGTCCTGGGCCTATAGATTCGATTTTAACTCTACAATATACATTTCTGTAGCTTCATCGTCATGGAATGCACTTGTCCCGACAGTTACACTGGAACGTACTGTGAAAGTGATATCGACGCATGCGCAGAGAACGCAGAGCCCTGTTATCCCGGGGTTCGTTGTCAAAATGACCCCCCACCACGCAATATAACTGGGTACACGTGTGGGCCTTGTCCTGAAGGGTATTCTGGGGACGGGCAAACATGCGACGGTAAGGATACAATTGTACATGTGTACAGGGACTTGTAATTATTGGTCGATTTGTTAAAGGGATACCAATTGTTTATATGTAGTCGGGAGAAGTGCCATAAAACTGATTTTCTCGGGTTAAAGTTTCCAATGGTGAATGAATACGTTCCGACATTCAAATTTAGTCCGTGTTTTATTAGTATTATTATTTGGGGTTTGCAATAAGTTTTTAAGAGATTATTTCGGAGGGTAGCCATCTCTGAAGGTCCAAGTGGCCCGATGGCAAGCAAAGGTTCCAGAATAATTGTGATAACCCCTGCTTTGATGGTAAAATGAAATTTCCTAAAGTTCCAATTTGATCTTTCCAGATATAAACGAATGCGTGAATGGCAGTAGCTGTGAGCACATCTGCGTCAACATTCCGGGATCATACGCTTGCTCTTGTTACACGGGCTATCAGTTGGCCACTGGAGGGCGTTGCGACGGTAAGAGACAAATGTCTGCACTTTTACCTTTGCTGGTTTGATATATATAATCAGTGAAAAGAGACTCGAACTTTGAAGCAGCATTTATTGTAGATGTATTTTATAAGTAAATATAAATAGTAGAAAGAAAGCGCCCACGTTTCTGGTTTTGAAAGAGGCTTTCGACTGAGATTTAGTAGTGAGCAGTGTTGGATCTCCGCTGATACTAAATTTGCAGATAAAACGAAAACACAAAATTACAGCAGCTTTTTTTAAATCTAAAATCACTTAAATCACATCACAAGCTTTAATTAAGGACCTGTTGTTTCGAATTAAATTGTTTCATAAAAGATGGTTAATGTCTGTTGACCTTATGTAAAAGGTACACACGACGGTATTTCAGATGTAAATGAATGTGTCCCAGCCAGTGACTGCTCTCAGACCTGTATTAACACGCAGGGTTCCTACACCTGTGGGTGTGACACCGCCTTCTCCCTCCAGGCTGACGGCAAAACTTGTGCTCGTAAGTATGGCGTTTAATCGTTTGATTGCCATGACATTTGAATAAAAAGCAGTTACTCGTAAATGATATAAAGGCTATACTGGTATATAGCCTTGGCGTTTGTACAAAGTGTCAATGAGAACGAAAATAAACAATCTGCGTTTTAAAATTGATTTGAAATGTTGCTTGTTCTTACAACACGGGCTAACAATTGGCAACTGGCAACATTTATTTTTCCTTTTTGTCTTAACACTTTTGTCGGTTTTGTTCTGATATCCGATCCTCTTCATCGTTTGAAATGTTCAAAATGTTATTCTATTCCAGCGACCACGGCTTGCACCACTAATATCGGCTGTGATCTGGTGAATGGCTGGTGTTACGTAGATTCGAACAAAACCAATCAGTGTAGTTGTAAGAAAGGCTACACTCTTACTGGAGGAACCCAATGTAACGGTGAGTGACAGTTACCGAGCGTCTGGGCACGCGCGACGTTATCATGGAGACGCAGGGTGCCAAAGCTAAAGGTGCTATTTGCAAGAGGATGTCAATATGATTTCAATTTGCCCAGCTCTTTTAAATTAGAGGTAGAAAAACAATAGAAGCCACCATCTTACTCAAACTGTCACGGCAGTATTGAAAAAATATATAGGCCCCCCATATCAACTGCTATCTAAACAACAGCCAATCAATTTGATGTTTACTTCAGTAACATCATTTTAATTTTGTTCTGTTATTATGAGCAGATGAGGACGAGTGTTCTACCGGCGCGAACAGATGTAACCAGCAGTGTGTGAATACTGTGGGCTCCTACAACTGCTCTTGTAACGGAGGCTACACCATGTCATCTGATGGCTACACCTGCAAAGGTACGTTGATTTCCCGACTTTTAAGTTGTCTCATTAAACCTCATTTATATATTTATTTGTATTTTACTTTGTTTGTTTATAATATTTTTGGTTGTATACTTGTATGTATTGCAAGATGAATATAAAATACCATTCCCTGATATATTAATATAAACATTAGATCTTTACTTGTTCCAACATTAAGTGAGCTGATTGAAATTAGTACATACATGTATTTTTGCTGATGGTGCCCCTCGATGATAATGAGCACTATTCATCTCCATGGTGAATGGTTACATATGCATTCGATCACATGGGGATCAAACACTTCTAATATGTTAAACTAAAATAGAATATTTCCATGTTATAGACATAGATGAATGTAACCAGCTAGACTCAGTGTGTAATTCCACACAGTCCTGTGTAAACAGTCCTGGTGGATATAACTGTACCTGTCCTACAGGCACCGTGGATATCGGGGGCCAGTGTAAACGTAAGTATGTGTGTTAACAGCATGTGTATGAACACTCCAGGTGGATATAACTTAATCTAGAATGTTAAAGCATGCAACAGTATTCGAAACTTTTATCGTTGAAAAATTCTAAATTCACACAACAACAGGATCATTTTTTCATTTGATGCTTTCATTTGCTCTGTTTAGAGTTGGCTGATGATGTCATGCCTGCCGCCGAGGAGACCAGGACTCCAAGCACAGCCGAGAGGGAAAACGCTGTTAAAATGTCCGCCCTGATGGCTTTATTAGACGTAAGTTTATGATGCCATCATCTGAGTACTTAATAATAATAATGTTTAAAATAGTTATAAATAAAGGTCTCTGTACGCCTTCTTTGTACTATAAATTAAATATTGAATGCATATAAAAAGATATTGTTGAAAGGAAATCAGATTTAATTTCTTAAAATAAACATTGAAAATGCTCTTTAAAAGTCTAATATGTAATAGTAGTGTTCGTCGTTGTTTTTATTTAACTTCTGTACCATGGCTATTAATATGAAGCTGAATCTGGACTTGTATTTCCTCTTTGAAAGTATCAAATAACCTGTTAGATATAACCAGCTGAAATATATCAATAATATCCTAAGTGAATGAGATATTTACTTTGAAAATCGGGTAGGTCAAAAACCTGTGGCCAGTGTTATAAAAGAATTTATATTTGATTCGTTTTTATTGGGCAGTACACGGTTGCCGTGGATACGGCGGTTGCCACGACGATAGCTTCCGCAGCAACTACATACTGCTCTGGAGGGAACTGTACTTTGATCACTGGAACGACGACAACACGAAGAAGGTGGGCATTTACATATAGCACGCTTACAGTTACCAATATGTCATCGTTGAATGCGGAATTTGTTTATAAGAAATAGTGATTCTACTCACGTTTGAAATTGTATTTGGCAAAGAATCTATAAATTATAATTGACTTGACGGGGATTTTTACTTGCAATAGTAAGTTTTCCATTTACGATATATATATATGATTGGCCAGTTACCGTTTTTAGATATGTAAAGAATTAAGGCCTGTGTTTTCTCGGCTTCCCTTTAGGCTTATATTCCAGCTTACTCTTCACTATTGAGCGTGATACTAGTACACTCGTTGCTATGCTTTATTTGATTAGCATAGTTATTTATGTACTGGATAATGTAAAGTACGTAGCATATGTACAATTACCAAAATTCTATATTGTAGAAGTGATACTTTCAGTGCACTTTGAATCAGAGAAAAATACAATTTATATTGCTATAAATAAACGTTTACAGAAATTACGCACATTATTTTGCAGGAGGTCCACCTCTACCCCTACCTTTAGCTACAACTTCGTCCTGCGTGTGCCAGGTTACCCAGCAACATCTAGCGATGTCCCCACCTACATAGATCTGGCCTATTACGTGCTCACAGCCACCGGGAACATACTGCCTGCCGCAGATTTGGTTGCCGTCATGCAGGGCGCGCAGACAGATCTTCAGATCGCTCTAGGTAAGGGACCAATGGAAATGAAAATTATCATTTCCAATGAAAATTATCAAACACAAGCCGGAATATTTTCATACCGATAGCTTACGGCCAAGCTGGACGTAGGCCTTTATTAGACTGATGTGAGTTGATGTTGACACTCACTGACCGCTAGGTTGTATAGGGGCCAGGCCCCTCTTATAATGTCAGGTAGATCGACACCCCCCCCCCCCCCCGTCCCTATTCATAGGTGGCTGGTGACGGCTGATGTTGATAGCCTCTCTCGTATCTTACGCGAGATGGCAGATGACTCCGATTTGCTTAGTCGACTACTCGATTTCAAAGGTTTAAGCCCAGCGCAAGTACTAATTTTTACTTTTACGAAACATACCGCTGGTTATCATATAACATTTTATTTCTAGGCAATGTCAGTATAACACAGCTTGGGTTTCTGGTGGTACCCGTCACTTCCAACGCCACAAACGCCACGACGTCGGTTGTCATCTCGATTTCATACAACGTGGAGTCAACGTACTGGACATGGGGAGTGGCTATTGGTGGAAGCGTGCTGCTGATTATCATTATTGTCGTCATCGCTGTTTGTGTCAGGTAATTTTTTCCCATTAAGATGTCTATTCATATTGTTTTGTTGTTTGATAAGGAAGAATTTGTTGCATTTAAGGCGATGAATATTTATTCCATGAGGAAGTCATACATCCATACCGGTACTTGAAGTTCAATTTGTGTAGCCTGCTTGACGTGGCACGCCTTCTTGAACTCCCCGCGCTCTCTTTCAACATTTAAGACGTGCATATTTACAATTAAACAGTTTGCACAGTTACTTTTTTTTTGCGTCAGAGAATTCCACTTTTTTTCAAGAAATCGCATTTCCAGAAAAACCTGATTCCCCATAGGCCCCTATAATATAGTATAATTTACAAATCCAGAAACTATCCAACCTTGATAATTTGTTCATAATGCCTACTTTATACCCGTAACGCTGTCGAAAAGATAAAGGTAGGGCCGCATCGTAAAATTCATTTATATAGTTGGGTTTATTTCTACAGGAGATATTATGCATCAAAATCTATGGTTGTGAGCACAAGTCCTGAGCCGGAAGAAGATAACGGGATTGAGGCCACCCACCGGAAAGTGCCCCCACCGTACCCCATGGTAAGCGGTGCTGCTATCCCCGTAGCCTATAAGGGCAGACGACCGTCACACCCCAATGCCTTGGTGATCGAGAGTGACGTAGATAACTTGGACGATTTCCAGGATGACGACGATTATGACCAAAGGGAGCGTGACGACAGAGCAGGGCAACGCCAGAATGGGCGAGATTATGACGACAGACGAAACAGAGGTAGGTTCGTTTCACATATAACAATCACGTTTCAGCGGGTCCTGAGGTAATTATTTTTGAAAGGAATATCTAATCCAAATTGTTTTTTTTTTTTTTTTTTTTTTTCTAATTTTGCTTGAAGAATTCCACCAACACTGTGCTTGCTAATTTGAAAAGTGAACGTAGGTCTACTTCCGTTATTGCTAACATGTACCAGTGCCATTACCGCTATTTTCATATGAAACGGTCCATGCAAATAACAATGTTATCCTTGGGTAAAATACTAGTATGTCTCTTACATGTACATTTGTGGTGCCAGTAAAACTTTGTATTCTTCTCAGTGCGCTGACCATTATTTATCTTATTATTACCTGTACCAGTATAAATTCTGTTGATGCATGAAATTGGAAGAGCTGCCAACCACGTTACATGTATTTAAATAATGCACCAGTGTTACAATAAAAATATCATGGAGTTTTTTTCCTTGTCTCAGGTCCAATAGGTCGCGATGATTACTACGATGATGATTACGATGGCTACTATTACGATGATCGGAGAGGCAGGGATCCTCGCGACCGCGATGACAGGAGAGATTACAATAGTCATAGACGCTACGATAGTCCTAGGCGGCACGACAGTCCGAGGCGATACGACGATAGGAGGCGCTACGACGACAGGAGAGACTATGATGACCGCCGAGACTACGACAGAGGGCGCTACGACGACCGCAGAGACTACGATGATCGCCGAGACTACGATAGAGGGCGCTACGGCGACAGGAGAGACTATGATGACCGCCGAGACTACGACAGAGGGCGCTACGACGACCGCAGAGACTACGATGATCGCCGAGACCACGATAGAGGGCGCTACGGCGACCGCAGAGACTACGATGATCGCCGAGACTACGATAGAGGGCGCTATTCACCACCACGTGGTGGTCGTGAGGTGGCCCCGCCTCATGTCGTTAAGAAAGACAAATATGGAAGACCAATACAGGAGAGCACAGGAGCTGTCGGGAATAAAACCCGTAAACCTTCATCTCCGCCACGCAACGCTTGGGGGAACGGTGCCAAACGAACACCGCCACCTGCTTATGACATTTAGTTCAGCAATCAAAAAGGAAAATTGCGAATAAGGGCTGAACCTGGGCTATGGCCATGCTTCTGATTATAAAGACTATTGAATGGAATGTAATTATACGGCACGTACTGGGTATACTCTTGAAGATGAAGTATTTACGAAGTTCTGTGGCTCAAGCTATCATTCCAACAGCTGCATATTATATGGAAAAATGCGAACGCACGCCGTGAGGCCAGCGATGCCTTAAAAATGGAACGTGCCAAAATATTATCATGAATTGACGTTTTTGCATGCGTGTCATTTGATAAAGAATGACGGTGACGATGAACAATGGATAGAGGATAGAAGAGAATTATTGACATTGACGTCGATTTTACTTCTGTGATACAGTCTCTGTTTAGGCCTGGCTTATGCCAGATTTGAATTTGAAGTACGTGGTATATAATTATGCGTACGGAATACCCATTGGTTCTAATGTGGTAAATGTAAACTTTACACCACATGAATGTTAATCCAATATGCCATATGAAATAATATTTTTGAAAATATTTATCCAAGCAAAATGTGATTGAATTAAAGCTAGAATGAGCTTTTGTTTGTTTGTGTGTATTTGTAAATGTAGTTTTGTGTGTATTTGTAAATGTAGTTAAAACAAGGTAAAGTGTGTATCATAATTATAGATAACGATAGATAATGTTCGTGGCTTGTGAGGTTGGCCCTTTCTAGCTACCATGATTTTCACGGAGGCGACAGAATCGATTTGTGGCGTACAAACCTTTGTTACCAAGTCATATGTAAATTATGTTAGTCAAACTTTTCTAAATTGTTATTTTTCCGTTGTTGAGGAAACAAATTTCAATAGTCATGATACTTTGATTGCGCAGCTAGATGCTGCCGTACATCTCTCCAGCCTTGACCTTTCCTAATTATCAGCTCGTTTCTTACTAAAAGACGCGAGAATGTTTCAGTTAGTCTTATTAGTGCATTATTGAAAAATATTTTTAATTTATAAATTTTGTTATTAGTTATTGTGATTTGATATTTGCATTATAATAAATGTGTACTTGTTCGACGTGCCACTCTTTGATGCCATATGTATAGTAATATACCATTACGAAACTTTGCATTCGCCAAACTTGATTGATTTCCCTCACCTAGTGTTAAAACCAAACTACTGGTACGTAAGGTATAAGGTGAGAATCGTGAAAAAAAGCATTAAGTAAAAGAATCAAGAAACAATCTATATGAATCCGTGCAGTCCGGTCAGAATATTTGCATAAGGACGTCATCACTTAGTTGATTTCTGGTGGAGAATAAGTTGTAAGGAGAGACCGCAAAGAGCCACTATTTTGAACAATATTTCTTATATTTTGAGACGCTGTGGTAATACTACAACACCTCTGAGATAATAAGTATACATTGTAGTGGCAGTATATATATTCAGTCAAGTTGAACGGAGTTTTGAGTGATACATAATTTGATATTGATATTAATAGTTGAAGTTAAAATTTTGGATCTATAATTGTTATTCCATCCAATAGAACATATTGTCTTTATTACGTTACACGTGTTGTAGCTATATACCAACGAAGAATATGTTATGACTCCGTCCGCAATTTTTTTTTTTCGTTGCTATTAATTAAGACATATTTGGAAATTTTATATATCAGTTAACTGTATTATACTCGGAAATGGATATTTGCATGGTTTTTATTATTTTACTATACATAAATCCGTTTTGTGTGTTTTGATGCAGTAGTGCTTTTTGCTGTGTTAAACAGATTTGATGAAATGGATAATTTCTCCCGTGTACATGGACTTTTGTCAACCCGAGGGAGAAAATTCAAATATGTCGGAAAGGCAAAGTAATTCAATCCTAGAATGTTTTAAAACTTTACATTGTTATATAAGTTCTCAAGGAACAAATGAGCTTTTTTCTGCAATTTTCTTTTTATTTCATTATACAATAAAATGTCACTTTCTAAACTACGTTTTTTCTTCATTTTTGAAAAAAAATTTTTTTTCATTGATATCGGTTAACTTCTAATAAGGCATAAACGATTACGTTACACACTTTGAGATGCTAGTAAATTCGGCATTGAAAGGAGACACCTTTATAAAATGTCCTTACTATATAAATAAAAAATAGAAATAGAAAACTATATAGCAAGCCATGTGTTCCTTCATAAAAAAAACATCGGCCAAGAAACTAGACAAACCCAAACAGTTGTTAATCTTTGTGCCTTGCATATTGTAGGAAAATTGTCCTTTTTTACCATTTTATCAATATCTATTATTTTTCCTAGTACCCAATTAGTAAAAATATGTATCCTCCAGTGGTGGGCCATATTAAGAAAAAAAAGTGCAAAGTTTAAAGAACATTTATAACATCAGGAAAGCCTACAGACCAATAAAATCATAGATGGTATTACATTTTATGAATCTAATAGACAGTTTTAATCTTAAATTCTATACATCGTGAACATAACATTATGACGGTGGAGTTTGAATGCCGTCTGGTATTATTGAGAAACAAGCGTAAGGACTTTCGCCACTTGAACCACTAGAACTTAGCTTGCGCTCCGGCACGGGCCTGTCTTGGTCGTCGTCTATGACGTCAGCCTTATTGTCGATGTCTTCGGCGGTTTCCGGTTCTGACAGAGATCGCTTTTCTCCCAAAGCACAGTAACCTTGAGAACCGCCAAATGTCTCCTGTTGGATCTCGTCGGTGATTTGGGGGCCGTTTTCAAAACAGTCCTCACCAGGTCTCATTGCTGTCGACGGTTGTTTCTCAGATCCGGAATTCGCTGATTCGCAGTGCCTGAAGTACAAGGGATACCAAAAACAAATTTATTACGACAGTACACATGGACGTGAATTCTTTCTTTGTTTTGGGACAACCTGTGCATGTACGTACGTGTATAGGCCTATATTAAAAGTATGTTCCATTATTTTAAAAATCACAAAAAAGTGCTCAAAAATGTATGTAGTATTAATTTATAGTGCCAGACAACGCAAGATACCTTAATTAAACTTAACACAAGTGAGGAAACTACAGGGTCCTACAATAAAAAGTGTTCATTTACAGAATTATAGACATTAGGTGACGTAAGGGAGTGCATTCAAATAATTGCTGGGCAATTTATATGAATTGTGTCTTTGTATAGTTGCCATTTACCGCTGTGTTATAAGGCCGTCCGTTATCACAGACAAACAGGCGTAGAAATTTTCGTCACTTGATCCACTAGGGCTCATCTTGGGATCTGGAACGGGTCTGTCTTGGTCGTCGTCTGCCACGTTAGCCTCATTGTCAGGTTCCGGCTCCGACTGAGGTCGCTCCTCTCTAAAAGCACAACAATTCCGAGCATCGTCAAATGCGTCCCGATGGACGTCGTTGGCGATTTTGGCACCGTTTTCGATACCAGACCCAGCAAAACACGCCTCTTCATAGGGACTGAACGCTGATTCCATGGTCGACGGTTGTTCCGCAGATCCAGAATTCGCTGATTCGCAGCGCCTGAAATGCAAAGTTTACCAAAAATAGATATTCATATTATATATGAAGTGCAAGGGCGCTCTTAGGGGTGCCCACTAGGTGTACACCCCCTTCTAAAAACTTGGATTCTGTGTAGGCCTATGTTCATTTCTCTCAAGATTTCATGGAAACACGCAGACAGTGTTTGCATACATTAGTTATACAAATACCCCATAATACATTTATACCAATAATATACTTTTAATGCTTGGAAAACACAAGACACATTCACCAAGAGACCTTAACTCGAATTTAAACATGTGAAGAACCGAGAATTTCAGTACATTTTGGATGAAGTTACAGGGGTAGATAATAGTTAATCTTTTATGACATAAGGCTATGTGAAGACGTCATATTACCGCTGTGTTATCAGGCCATCCGTTATTACAAACAAAGAGGCGTAGGAATTTTCGCCACTTGAACCATTAGGGCTCATCTTGGGATCCGGCACCGGCCTGTCTTGTTCGTCGTCTGCAATGACAGCCCCAGTTTCGACGTCGCCAGCTCCCTTTCCCGAAATGCGATCACCCTGAGGATCGTTGACTGTCTCACAAGAGACGCTGTCATCGTTCTGAGAACTGTTCCCAATATCGAACGCCGCAAAACATGCTTGATCACGTGGGGTAAGGACAGTTGTGACTGCTGAGGATCTTTCCACAGAAACAGATTTCGCCAATTCATCGCGCCTGAAAGAAAGGCTTCACCATTCAGGATATGGGCCTATATAGGTGCTGTTTATCTTTAATATAGAGTCAAGAGAAGAAGAAAACGGACTCAAACTACACACGTGGTAGATTCATAAAGACACGTGGCTTTCATACGCGTTGGGAAGATCTTATCTTGTTTACGCACTATAGGCCTACCTTATATTTACGTCATACTTCTATTTAGAGGCTAATGCCCAAATGAAATTGGATCATCTACTAGTACATGTGCAACCGATACTCAGTGTTGAATACTCAATTTTAAAGATCTGGATAAGGTTGTGCATGTACGTACTTGCGCTCTCTGCTTAAACATATCCACATTAGCCCGCCCGCTAGGGTGCACCCCAACAAGACGGACCCAATGCAGACTATGGCTGTTATGTGCGCTAAAATAGAAAAAAATAACATTATAAGGATATGGGCAAAAACGTTTTATCTCGATCTTGTGGAATATTTTTTTCACTTTATGTTTAATTAAGTCATTGTAGGAGAAATGTTACATAAATATTTTTCCAATGCATTACACTTTATCGCGTTTTCGACATTTTTACTTGAGATCAACCATTATAGAATTTATATGAAAAATGTGCTTATTCATCTAGTGTAGTCACATTAGTTTAAAATTACTTACAGTATTTAAACACACACTCACACAGAGAGAGAGAGAGAGAGAGAGAGAGAGAATAGAAGGTACCGGCAGAGATAGAGAGAGTTTACCTTCCCCAGTAAGTTTTTTAAATGGTATCCGGACTGCTGTCATATATGAAAAATTAAATTAAAGACACATCCTATCATGAATGCACATTATGAAATTGGTTATTATCTTTATAGGGTTTTTTTTTCTTTTTTTTTATTGACACAAACAATGTTTTCCATTTTGAAAATTTATAACTTCACAATTGACACGAAATGACCATACAAGTGACAGGCAGTGTTCTTAGGTGTAAAAAGAAGTAGCAGCCAAGACCATATAACGTCAGTATCGTACTTTCCGCGGCACTAGTTGTGAGGTTTTCCATTAGTGTGTTATTAAATGGTGCATCAGTGACAGGTGGCGCCGGTATTGTTTCTTCTATTGTCAGTATGGGGATTTCAGGGACATCTGAAATTATTAAATAAAGATATTTGACTTTGAAACATTTTGATTTTTAAATTCATTATCTAACAAAAACTTGTTTCGGGCAATCATTTTGCGGAGTGAATAGCCAACCACCATGCCATATGATTTATCACAATTGGAACTGTGCGTGCATATGTACCGATTGTTTAATTAAAATAAAATAAATGATATGATATGATATGTACTTAGAATAAATGTTGAGCTGTACTTTTTAAAATTCTGGTTATAAGGAGTAATATAAGAGCACTGGCAATTCTGCACAATGAAGAAAGAGCAAAATTTAATTCACAGAAAATTCGCGTGTTTTAAGTATGTCTGCCCCTCTACCTGGGCAATGGTAGCAGCGCCAGGGGCAGATAAGCCTCCGGTACGTGTTTCCACTGCACTGGCCGTGAACTGTCACCTGCCTACAGTCGATTGTTTCGTTACAAGAGCCAGAACCTAGGGAGCAAAGCATTTTCAATACAATGCACGACTGAACAACAATAACAACAACAACAAAAACAATAATAATTATTGTAATTTACAACTTAAATACAGTTACCTTTTCATTAGAATAAAAAAAGGAAATTCTGTTTATTCCATTTTCGTGTTATGGCACTCTAAGAGATTCTATAGGAATCCTGCAGGACTCTACGAGACTATATGGAATTCTAACGGATGTCCTATTTAGGACCAATTTTCTTTAGAATGTCCCACAGTTATAGGACACTATAGAAATTGATTAAAGGTTTGATTTTAACAACTAGTACACCATTCCCATTGA